TTGGAGTCATTTCTATTCCTTCTGTTGCTTACTTTTTGCTGGCTGTGTTTTACCTTCCTGAGTCTCCTAGGTGGCTTGTCAGCAAAGGCCGGCTACATGAGGCTGAAAAGGTTCTGAAAAGGCTTCGCGGTGCTGAAGATGTTTCAGGTGACACTGAATTTGTACTTTGGATTAATTTTTCTAAAAGTACTTATTCTAGAAGAAAAAATGAATTTAGTTTCTCCATAAGTTAAAATTAACTTAATTTTCCTTCATATTTACTCCTCCTATAAGTGCTTGGAGAGTGACAGTTTATCCAAACAGACTCTTATTGTTGGTTCGAATTTGTTGAAACATCATTTTGTGCTGATTAGGAGATAACTTTGGTCTGTAGGGGAATTGGCGTTGCTGGCGGAGGGTCTCAGTCCTGGGGGTGAAGCCACTTCCATAGAAGAGTATATGGTTGCCCCAGCTAATGAGATTCTTGTTAACCAGGAAGCAGCAAAAGATTATATCAAGTTATATGGTCCTAATGAGGGAGTTGCAATGGTTGCTCAGCCAGTGAATGGACAAGGTAGCTTTGCATCGCGTAGTATGTTGTCTCAGCAAGGAAGCTTTGGAACTCTGACTGGTGGTGGTCTTAAGGATCCTATTGTGAATCTCTTTGGAAGTTTGCATGAGAATACTCTCCCTGAGAGTGGAGGTTCACGCAGTATGCTAATTCATAATGCCAACAGTATCTTTGATACCAGTGACAACTTGCATGAGTCCAGTCCCTTTGGTACCAGTGACAACTTGCATGCTCCACTGATGTCATTCCAAGGGGGTGCTGGGGAGAAGGACAGGGCTTATGGATCTAAGGACATGTTAGGCATGAGGAGCACTAGCAGCCTGAGAAGTAATAGTAGTTTCTTTCATGGGACTGCTGTTGAAACACCCAAAAATACAAACATTGGTGGAGGTTGGCAGTTGGTGTATAAATCAGCTGATGGTGCTGTGGGTGGGAAAAGAGAAGGACTCCAAAGGGTTTATTTGCACGCAGATCCTGCTGCTGTGTCTCACTCTCAACATGTTTCATTTGTTTCAACTTCCGGCTATGACATACCGATAGATGGTGGCGAAGCTTTCCAAGCAGCTGCTCTTGTCAGCCAATCAGTTATAGGTACTCATGATTTGTTGCATTTGCCAGAAGTTGCAGCAAAGGGCCCAAAATGGAGAGGTCTGCTAGAACCAGGAGTCAAGCGTGCATTAATTGTTGGAATAGGACTTCAAATTCTTCAACAGGTACAATTAGTTGGCACTGTAATAGTATTGCATCACTTGACTATATTGTCTCCTCTTATAATTGATATCCATGCATTCATCTAAAAATTGGATCATGAATGGTTATCCAGTTCCCTATTCTGAAGTTGTTATTTGCCGTCTGTTGTACTTTGTCATATGTTTTATCAGTATCAACATCATAGAGGTAGAGGATTAATATTCGTGAAGATAATAATCTTATAGTTTAGCTATAGGTTGTTGATTTTATCATTTCAGAATTACAAGTCTACTTCAAATGGATATCTTTATACCCACTTTAACTCTTGGCTATGAGGTGTACCTTATCCTATCCTTCAATATACAAAATTACAATCTACTCTTACTTTGCAGTTACTGCACAATAATGCCTTGTGGATCTTAGGAGTTGTCTAGTTTAAGCAAACGTTTCATGTTTTCATTTCTTGTTTTTACTAATAATTACTACCATTTGCTGGGAAAATCTTTTGAAAACAAAAAACAAAATAAAACCACCATAGAATTTTTGTTAATTACTGAAAATAGGAAATAGAAATAGAAAAGGTTTTCACAAACTAAAACAAGCCTTTAGTTGTTTGCACTATTAGTATTCTCTCCTTTCCTTTTCCCCATCTCATCTTTCTAACAATTTTGACAAAGTTTTTGGAAAATATGCATGTTTCTAGGTGTTCTTTTCCTTGCAATTTAAAATTAGCTGAAGCAAAGGATAATATGATATTCACATTGAAGAGTTGCTCCTACACTCCAGCTTCTTATGTGATTCTGAAAATGTAACATGTATTGCAGGCTGCTGGCATAAATGGGTTTCTCTACTATGCTCCCCAGATTCTTGAGCAGGCAGGAGTAGGGGCTCTTTTATCAAACTTGGGCCTTAGTTCAGCCTCTTCTTCTTTTCTTGTAAATATTGTTACAACCTTCTGCATGCTTCCTTGTATAGGTCTTGCCATAAGACTCATGGATATTTCTGGCAGGAGGTATGTTTAATCTACGGTTTGGCCTGAATTTCATGTTGATCTTGTTTCTGTTCTGCTTCGTGTATAGAGCCATAGCCGTATTACAGAATTATAATCAAAACAAGATTGTTTAATTTCTACAGTCACAATTGTTTCATCCTATTCTTTTGGCATTTGTAATGTAGACAGGGTCCTATTAGTGCAAGATTTGCTTAACTACTGGTCTTTACAAGATTCTCAAAACAAAAATTGGACTGAAATGCAACAATTGGTGACAATGACATTACGTATTTTCTCATAACAGGTCAATCATGCTGTACACAATACCCATTTTGATAGTTTGTCTCCTGGTACTAGTTATCAAGCAGTTCTTTGAGATCGATTCTGTCCTCGATGCAGCGATCAGTGCTGTTAGTGTTGTGGTTTATGAAAGTGTGTTCTGCATGGGGTTGGGCGTTATTCCGAACATCATATGTGCTGAAATCTTCCCAACAAATGTTCGCGGAATCTGCATTTCTTTGACTTCTCTTACATATTGGGGTTGCACCTTGATTGTCACTTTGATCTTCCCCTACTTGCTCCAGCTTCTTGGTCTCGCCGGTGTCTTTATATTATTTGTTGTTGGCTGCATCATTTCATGGATCTTTGTCTACTTGAAAGTTCCTGAAACAAAAGGCATGCCTTTAGAAGTTATTATTGAGTTTTTTGCTATTGGTGCAAAGCCTGGCACTGATCCTTCCACACTGGGAATCAAAGTTTGATGCCTCGGTGAATGGTGATATCATCATCACCATAAGAAGTAGCAGCATAGATCATCAATAAGCATATAAGTTCAGTTGGTTTGATTCCTCCTAAATTGAGTTGAGAAGATTTGGTTGAAGATTGAAACTATTTGGCTCTAGCGACTTCCCTTTTGGTGCTTTTGGGAGAAAATGAGTATAATAGTCATTTATTTATAATATTATGATTCATATTTAGAGTATTCCTTGTATTCTTTTATCTTTTCATTCCTTAGCATTTGCTATTTGGTTTTTCGCCTTGCTTTGCATAGGGGGATGATGTGCTCTAGTGAATTTTGAGGTATGAAAAGGTTATCACTACGCTGGTTGTGTTCTTCTATAATGATGTCTAGCTAGTAATATTAAAGTATCTGTGTTCATCTAAACTTATGATTTTATATAGGTGACAACTTTAATGTTATGCAATATACCCAATATGCATTAAATTAAAACTTATGGCTGTTTGGTAGGGGGGGGAAGAAAACATAGACATTTTTTTTTTGTTTAGTTAGAAAGAAAGTAGTCGAAATGTTGACTTTTAAAAATAAAATTTGAAAAAAATTCTTTTAATTCAAATTTAAAACGTCTATCTTCTCCCTCACTTTCTTTCACGATACTCAAACGGACCATTAGGTTCAACTTTAGACTTAGTGAAGAAATCAAGGTAGTTATGGTATGCATCACTATCTCGTACAATTTAGAAGCATGTATAGAATCCAAATCAAAATCACATGTCACAACTACCATACTAAAAATTTCCTCAGCTACTGCTAGATTGAGTCACTTAGAAGACAACTGAAAAGAAAAACACATCCTCTACTTTCTAACTAGACTTCAACACCTAAAATCATTTTTCAGAACTTAGAAAACTTCTCTTGTGATCATGGATTAACTAGAATGAGATTATTCTATCTTAACCAATAAGTAAATATTCGGGAAAATTCTTTACCGCCCATAATGATTTTTCTTTATTTGAATATAATTGTCTATAGTAGAAAATACATATAGTTTATAAAAAAGGACAAGAACATCGTTCTCAACACAAACTCAATATCCACCATGCCTAACTTGAAATAATCCCCAACTACCGACTACTGTTAACAAAGCTGTGAAGTGTGAACCACTTGAAGCCATAAAACTACCCATTATCAACCTCTATTCAGCACAAAACCAACTACATCTGACTAATCAAACAAATAAATTCTTAATCATTGCATCACCAAAATCTCCATGAGACACCGTCTCACAAAGAGGTATGCATCCATTGCTATAAATTATTAAACCTTTTCATTGAGACATCATTGTCTCCTTTATCATAGCATGATCATCTAAGCTTTTATCACGTGAGTCAGGCAATCAACACTGATTTTCCCTTCCCTTAACAATCAAAATCAATCAAGGAATGATATAGTGCATGGGCATGGATCATAATGTTGCAAGACAAGTGGATTGGAACATAAAATTATTTGAGACTAAATTGAACCTTTCCTCAAATTTTGGAGACTAAAATATAATCCTAAAAAAAATGGATTGAAATCAAACTTAACTTTAAAAAATCAATTTGTAAGATAAGAATTATTCTTCGTTTATATATTATAATATTATCTCTAACTAATGTGGGATCTTCAACACACTTTCTCATATCGAAGATGAAATATATTAAGTATGAAGTTTACAAAATTAAACATCTGTGAGTGGTTCAATAATAGATTAATAGTGAGTGCTTTTTTTTTTTAAGAAAATATAGTGGGTGCTTGATAGACAAAGTAACACTTAGTAGGATGAGCTCTAATACCATTTTACGAAAGTGAATTAAAATTTAACTCAATTTTACAAAATCGGTTTATAAAATAAGATTATTCCTCACTTATATGCACTAATAACTATATGATCATTTCTTTTGTCGACGTGAAAACTTCAACATAAACCTATCAAATCAAGAAAATTATATTTCTCCAACTAAATTGTTCAGAAAATATATATATTTTTTTATATTTATCTCTATTTATTAAAGATGATGAGATAGACAAAAAAAAATAGTATGAATTGTCGTACGTTAATGACTACTCATGAAATAATACATTCATCAGATGATACGTACATAAATAAATAAATAAATAAATGAAATAATAATAATAATAATAATAATAATAATAATAACTATTTGGGGAGTCTTAACTTTAGAAACAGACTATTTGGGCTGAGCCATCGATCTGGACTCAAAATGGCAAATTTGAATTTTGATTGTTTTATTTTCAATTTGACTCCACTGTAACTTTTATTTTCATGTATTCACACGTAGGCATGGCAATGGGCGGGGCGGGGGCGGGTTTTACTCCGCAAATTTAAACTGCCCACGCCCCCGCCTTTGATACCCGCCGAGGGTAAAATCTAGGTCTCCATCCCCGTCTCCCGCTGGGTTCGGGTTTCCTCGCCCCGCCCTCGCCCCAGCTCTTATTTTTTTTCTTCTTTTTTCTTTTAAATAAATATGAATAATTTTAAAAAAAATAAAAGAAAAGTAAAATAATATAAATTTGTACGTATAAATATTTCT